ATACACACATACATACATACGTTTATATATACGTTTATACATACGTTCATACAAGTATATGTATTAGAAAGGAAGGGAAAAGAAATATAGTACATAATAAATACATTAACGTATTTTTATTTAAAAAATTCTTTTGCAGCCATCAGTTATATATTTTCAATACATTTTGTAATGCGCAATTCTTAATATGTAGTTCATCGTATAATATTATTAACATCCAGATTAGTTATAGATTCCATGTCTTTGTAAACTGCGTTCAAGATCTTGATGTACATGCGTTCTCGCTCATCATCCAGAAGCAAGTTCTACAGCCACGTTTGTTTCTCGCGTTCCTTAAAGTACACGATAGCATCATCTTCAAACACAGCCTCCGTGATCATGCATTTCGCATCACTGTACGGGACCGTCCCGTCCTCCCATCGCAATCTACGATGATAAGCACTCAACCAGGACGCTCAAAACCTGTCGGATCTTGTCAAAAATTTCCATGGCATGAGACTCGTAAAAATGTAATGCGTGAGAACGGTCCTCTGTTTCAGCACTGCCATTTCCGTCACGAAAAATTTCTTGTTAACGATGAATCCTTGAATATCCATGAACGTTGGCACGAGCATGTTTTCGAGAAGACTGCGGTCGATTGTGACGTATCGTAGATTTTATATCGTGTCGGAGGTGCACTTAGATGATTTTGCGCATAACATTGGTCAATGGATTAAATTGTACCACACGATCGTGTATGATGAGACAATAGGCTGTTGTATTTACGGGCACGTTCTCCTTACATTCAAAGTCTAATCGCACGTCCACGGTGCCACTCTTGACCGATTCGTTCTGTCGAGAGCAGGCGATGATTACGAACGGATCATTACGTAAAAAAGTTGAGACTCGGCTCGAGATACTTGTATCCGTAGTAGCCCTTGCAGAAACGCGCATGTCATACAGAATCGCACATCTGTTTTTATTAAAATTCAGATTCAAGTCATCGTACGGATAACATTCCGAATTCAGGTAGAGTTTCGCATTGGTTAATTTGCAATCGTCGAATCGACTTAGATATATCCTCGGACATGATATTTTTTCGGCCTGTTTGCATAGCGAAATTGATGTAGCGTGGCTTCTCGAGCTGAGCAGTCGTCTTGATGGTCCACGAATGCCTGGTTGTACTCTGTAAGAGCGAACAGATCCCACTAGTACAGATCCCACGAGCGAAAAGCCATGCTCAGATATCGTCCGCTCTCCAAAGCGCGCAGCATCGACAGCTTATTTATCTCGCTCAATAACACGTGCGGCATTCGCTACTGTACTTTGAATAATTCGAACGTCGACTCTGTTGCGGGATCTCCCCATCAGACAATTATTGTCATTGCGCGCTCGTATTAAAATCAATTCGTGACGAGCGTTGATCACCACGCGTTTGTAATCTTCGCAAAATTCCAGCAGTACGTAGAGCGGAACGCAGAAATTAAAGTATCCGGTCGCAGTAGTCTGCGCATCCCAACCGGCATTCCGCAGAATTACGCTTCTGTCGGATGACACTGTTACATAGTTTTTGAACGTGCTAGTTATGCCCGCGTTTTTGTTACGGTCAATTTCCACACCGTTGAGTTCATATCGAATCTCGTCGAATATGAACGCGACGCAATTATTTCCCAATGTCACGTTAGCATCCTGAACCACTTTGTTCTTCGTCAGTTTTTCCTCGACGTATAGAAAGCTTTCGTACGGCAATGTGTACAGATTATGTTGCTGTATGAGTATTCTTATCTCGTCGCTGTACCCGAACGTTGCGTTGGCGAACGGGTTGTATGTGTGAGTTTCAATCTTGACGATGTGATCGTCGAAGATCGGCTCGTCTTTAATGTTTAGGATATCACTCATCTCAAATGTTACGCACCGCGAATCCTAAAGACTTTAAAAATAACGTTCGACGCGCTGAGCTTCTTCTTCTTCCTGATGCAGTTGGATGAGCGAGTGTTATCGAGAACTGTGACGTCGTTGGCCTAGTAAAGAATACGTTATCTCTCTGCGTGCGCTCCGTTCCGTTCTCACGCTCACGTTATCACTGTTTATGTCGTATGTGTAATCTAACAGTGATCTCTTCTCCTCGAAAATCGAGCAATCGTTCATTCTGGTTGACGACGCGTATCGTTAGATCCGTAATGCTCTGTGCGATGATCGGTAGGTAAATGATCTGCGTCAGCCTCTGCGGTATCTTATATCCTGGCGGCACGCTCGGCGAAAATTTGTGTATCGTATGCGCGCTTTTGCCGTTGCTGTATGCATCCGCGGTCACGTTACATTCTTCGTTAAGCGAGTTAAATATGCTACTCAAGTTTTTAATGACATTATGAATGTGGCATTTCTTGTCGCAAAACATTTTAGAGTTGTTGGGCCCGAATCAGAATATACAGCAAACTTTGTTAAAGATATGGACAATTTATTCGATACTTTTAATAGCTTTTGTCTTAAAGAAGACAAAAAAAATTAAATTAAGATACGCTATGAGTAAAGACTCGCTTCATGAGAAAATTTTAACAGATATAAAATATAATTTACAAAATAGTGAATTGGAACTAATGAACCAGCATGTTTAAAAGGCTGGATTATATTACTAGCATTTTAACTTTAGCAAAAGACTTTTTGAATCAGGATCCTCTCGAAAATTTTTTTTCCATTGTTCGACAATAATGGAAATGTAAAAAATCCGAATTCATATTAGTTTCAAAATGGATTGCAACACATATATATCACTACGATTTCAAAACTATTAGAGAATAATAATTGTGAAGATGACAATACATTAACATTTATAAAACTGCTTCATAAAAAAAAATGTATCAAGCCAGTTAATGAAGAACATGTAAACATTGATGTACAAAATCAAATTGAGGAACTAAAAAACTTACCTGACATAATGGATGTTATATATTCGAAGACGGATATTGATAGAAATGGAATTTATTATACTTTTGTAACAAGTTTTAAAAAATTCATAAATGCGCAGAATGTCAAAAAATTATTTTTGACGACGACAATTTGTAGGCGATCACCAATTGTTTACCTTCTTTAAGTAGTGTGATAAATTAAAAGACAGTCAAGGATTAAAATTCGTAACAAATGCATTTGATGTTATTCAATTCACTTGAAGCAATACATAATAGTTTATTTAATAAGTTTTTGAAAAGTAAGAGTTTAACCAAAGATTTATTTTTTATTGTCCAAAATAAATATAACGTATAAATCAAATTATGTTCAAAAGAATTAAGTGTGTTATTTTTAAAATTATTTTTAAAAATTAGGAATTTATAGGCTATTTATTCATACAATAAAAATAAATCCAGCAAAATTAAAAATAAAAAGATCAGAAACTGAGAAACTTTATGCACAAATAGCGATGAAATTTTTAATGAAAGAGTATGTTTTATAGGTTGTATTTGAGGTTGGGTTCGCACCTTAGGTTTATTCGCGTCGAATGCTCGAAAATGCGAAAAAACCTTTTAAGAAGCAGAAAAAAAACAGAAATCTATTAGAACTCGCGTTGGAAGAAATATAGACAACAGAAACTATCGACAACGTATGTTCTGATTGGCTTTCTGTTTTCCTAAGAACATTTTGAGAATATCTCATCGTTCTGAGAACGGATATCTTCTTCAAAAGGATATCTCATCTGGAATAAAGTGTGCTATATGGGTATAATTTATGCTACGTGTACTATAGCAAAAATATTCACCAAAGCTGTGTTATTCACTGCGAGAACTGAAAATTTATAAGTCCATGTTATATATACTATAGATTTTCAGTACTTGCAGTGAATAACGGAACGTAATCTAGAGTTATCTCGGCATACTTCCTAACTCTTGGACTTTATTCAACAGTATATTTTAATTTCACTTTTTTATTTCAACTATCAGTTGACACTAAATTGAAGTTTCATTTTCTGCGTTATATTAAATTGTATTTTATTTCTATTCGTTATACTGTATTATCATAGTCCTATTCTTTATTTTCATGTGATAACTATAGCTATTTTGTAATACTAAAAATTGTTATTGCATTACAGTTTTTATCGAAGTTTTATAAGTAATTATTTTATTATGTTGCGATATAATCTAATACAACATCGTTTAATAAATATTTTTCAAATATACGAGGGTCGTTCGAAAAGTCCGTGCAAAGTCACTGCTGATGGCACTACTGGCGCGTATCAAGGTTAGATTTAGTTAGTAGCATCTCTTGGAGGAACACACACCAAGTTACAGCCAGATCTGTCTATTTGTTTGTGTTTGGCATTCATTTGAATCGAGGAAGTCGAGTGATTTTTAATAACGCACCAGCTCACACCTCAGCAGTTGTTGTCGCAAAATTAATGGAATTAGGGTTCCAACTCGTCTCACATCCCCCCTATGCTCCAGACTTGGCTCCCTCGGCTAT